AATATTTAAGATCCTTAGTTCCTTAAATCTAAGGCTTGCATCTTTAATAAAAGAAATTAAAAAAAAAAATAGAATACTGTATGCAATTGCTACACAAGCCATCTTGTAATTTAATGGTATTGAAAAGTACCTTCCTTTTCAATCTGCAGCTGCTGTAAAACAATATGACAACCTAGAAATGTAATTTCCTGCTTGTCTGATTGGCTTAGTGATTTTCTCAGAATCCTATACTAAGATACAAGTCAAATTTTGGGTATTCCCTTCAATAGGAATTTCAGTTTTTGTGAGTTACTCTCCAAGGGATGCAAACCCTGTAGCTTTTCTCTTTTAGAACACTGAGAGTGCACACGGTGATTGTAATGAATCAGTCCCTCCCATCCATTCTTCAAGGAGAAAGAGAACAAACAGCTAGGGTAGGAATATGCTACAAAGGTTGCTAAAATCTCTGCAATGTGAAACCCCACAGTGGGTTATTCTTGAATCCATTGAGTGCGATCCCTTTTCTACAGCGAACCTTCTTTGGCTGAGACGCGTTGATCGCCGCACGATTGCGAATCCCATCACCTCACATTTCTTGTCCCTTTGGGATAAACTGAAGTCCCACTATCTCTTACAATCACCCCATAATCCCCTCCTTTTTATACCTTCGAAATCCAGCTTTTCCCCCAGCCTGGTCCGCACCACATGTCTTTACTCGCTGGTCTACGGCTGGTCTCACCCAGACCCGACACTTCGTGTGCAGGAATACATTTAAATCCTTTGCCTTACTATGTGAGTCCCATAACCTCCCTGCCTCCGAATTATTCAGGTATGCAGATGAAACATTTCTTTGCTCCGTACACAATGGCTGCTACCCCAGCACCTACATTGCCTCCTTTTGAGCGAGCGTGCCTCAGGGACCCCCATAGACGGGGCCTCATCTCCTATTAATATTCCCTCTTCACGACCCCAACTATCTCATCGTTACCCTCGTACACAAATAAAATAAATGGGAAGTGGATTTAGGACGGCAAATTGACCCTCCAGATTGGGACCTCATTTGGTCCAACACCAAAGAGTCGTCGCAGAATATTGTGGCCCTGGAGACCAACTACAAAGTCTTGACCCACTGGTACTTAGTCCCAGCTAGAATTGCGAAAATTTACCCCTGATTACCCCCCAGCTTGTTTCAGGGGCTTGTTTCATATATTTGGTGGGAATGCCCAATCGTCCGAGCATTTTGGATGGAGGTTTTTAGAATACTATCCACACTCAGTGCCATAACCCTCCATCCAAGTCCATTAGTTGCGCTTCTCAACCTGCGACCACCAGACATCACAAAAGAGAATTTCAAACTCATTCTACAAGTCACCACCGCAGCCAAGCAGGTTATTGCTAAGTCATGGAAGTCTCCCTCACTGAGTATGACTGCAGTTACGAACAGGGACACTCAGGCGATAATTCACGCAAAAATAGAAGCCACTATTTTAGATTCCATCCCTAAGTTCAAGAAGATTTGGAATCCCTGGGTAGAGCATTTCCTCCCATCCAATTTGGATAACTCCCTTCTTAATCCGTAACCTATGTCTTTTTGCTTTCCTGGTACCATTCCTTACCAATACTACGGATCTCTCCCTCCTCCCCCTACCGTGGAGCGGTATACCCCTTTCCATCCATCCTCCCTCCCCCCCCCCTCCCCTTCTTGTTAGGCCTCAATTGCCATTTGATAGTCACCTATGTTAGTGATGCCTGACCTTGTATTATTGGGTATCTTTACTGTGCAATTACTGTACACCTTCAATGACCCATATTCTTACTTAGTATTTTGTATTGTTTCATGTTAAAACAATAAATTATTTTAACAAGAAAATCTCTGCAATGTACATTGATCACTCGGAGGGTTGTTTCCCTCATAAATGAAGTAACTTTTTAGGTTAGTCAATACAGGGTATCACTTGAACTTTAAAATTTCTACATCCGTCAATGGCTGTCAAGGTCCTACCTTTCCTCAGAGATTGTGTTGCTCCATGTGCTGGCATCCATCTTAAGTTCCTGCAAAGCATGGTGGGAGCCTTTATGCTTTCAGGCCTCTGCGGCTCCTCCTCCAGAACGGTGTGGCTGATCACATTTAAGCCTGCTGTCTGCAGTTGCTCCTTGCATTCGTGTCCTGTATGTTCTTTTGCAGCAAGCTCTTGTTCTGTTCTCGTTGCTCTCCTGGTAACCGACTCAGCTTGGACAAGACTATTCTCTGCTTTATCCCATTACCTGACCTCCAGTTTCTGAACCCGACCCGTGACCTGAGTATTCTTGTCTACCGTCTTGTACTGTTTGCTCCATTGTTATCGACCCGGCCTGTCCGACCATGCTATACGTTTTCCATCTGGCTCCCACCAGCTGTGCGCCATTGGTGGCAGTCGTTACCGCAGCTGGGGTTACTCGGGGGCCGTGACCTGGTCTCAGGCTGCGTCAAGTCCATCCCCACCATCAGGGGCCCTGGTGAAGGGCAGCCTGGGGCTTAGACTCCACGCCCTGAGAGACTCTGGTCTGTGAGTAGTGGCTGTCGTCAGTCGCTGCGTGACCTTACCATTAGGCCTGCCTGCCTATTCCACCGCTCCTGCCCTGACAATGGCTAACATGGTATAACACTCCACTATTCTCTTGCAGTCCAATGCTCTTTTATACACTGTGTGCAAATCCCTACATTGTACAGATAGGCAGTGTCCTAACCAGAGAGAATACTGTTTGTATAATGGGAGGTTTTATTTTTAATATGATCAATTCATATCTTTAGCAGTGACATCCTGAGCAAGACGGGCAATATATAAAAATATAAACATAAACTTTTCTTGTAGGCAGGGAAAGTAGATGCATGAGAATGGCACAAAAATTAGGAATATTTTCATAGAAAGGGTTGTAAATGAATGAATATAGCCAGCACCCGGTGTAGCTCTTGTAATACATTATTTACGTGAGGGAATACAACATTCAGTCCTCCAGGCTCACCGGTATTGACTTTCAGTGGGTCTTAATGATAGCATGAGTAAGACCCACTGAGAGTCGATACCCATGAGCCTGGAGGACTGAATGTTGTATTCCCACAAGTAAACAAAGTATTGCAAGAGCTACAGTGGCTGTTGGCTATATTCATTCATTTACATGTGTTGGAGCTGACAGAAGCTTTCCATTGCACCACACTTGCAGACGTGGATACCTGACACAGGTGAGTAGCAGCTTGTTGTATGGGGTGGTATCAAAAAGTTTCAAGACTAGTTTTGTAACACCCCCACAGATAGCAGCACATGGCTGCACACACAGTCACAGGGAGCACCGACCTTCAAAGGACATTGTCCTGTGTCCATCAGGAGCTGTGGAACTAGTCCTGTTCTGACCACAAGCATTACCACGTCTGTTATTTCATCATGGACAGCAAGGTAGAACCAGGAGCAAACATGAAATTCTGCACAAAATCCTTACACCCAAGTTTCGTCTCCAGTAATGGTCCTCTACATGAAGGATGAGTCATCCACAGCACGCTGATGGAGTTCTTGGCAGACTTCAGTGTGGTGTTCCTTGTACTCCTGGGTTAGCAGCCTGGGTATGAACTTGGCAGCAACATGGCGCATGTTCAAATCACACCTTAGGATTGCCTGGACTGTTCTGTATGACACACTGACAATGGCAGCAATGTTGCGGATTGTTCTCCGACAGTCATCACGCACAAGTTGCCGAATGGTTTTGACATTTGCAGGGGTTTAACTCATTGAAGGTCTTCCTGATCTCTTGTCACCTTCCAGTGATGCTCTTAAAGCACGTGTGTCACTCATAACACTTGAAATTACTCATTGCAGCATTGCCGTAAACTTGCCAAATCATGTCAGACGTCTCTGTGGCAGATTTTCCCAGTTTCATGCAGAATTTCATGTTTGCTCTTTGTTCTAACTTGCTGTCCATGATGAAATAGCAGACATGGTAACACATGAGGTCAGAATAGGACCAGTTGCACAGCTCCCGCTGTACACAGGATAATGTCTTTTGGCACACACATGACAGTTGACATGAAGGACAGTGCTCCCTGTGACTGTGCTTGCAGCCTTGTGCTGCCATTTGTTTGTGTGTTACAAAACTAGTCTTGCAACTTTTTGATACTACCTATTATACTTGGATAGAAATACTTGTAACATAGAACACATATTAATATAATAACAACACTACTAATGCAATTAATAAATTATAAATTAAAAATAACATGTTGTACAGCTCTCCAAAAGGACTGTACACAAGAGATGGTTCCTTTTAGGTCCTTTGGGTGTCTTGTAACATTGTCCAGAGCATACATCACTATTGTTCTCTGTTTTCCTGCCAGAACTGTCCAAGAAAAGTAAATATGAGCAGTAGATTACCTTCAGAGCTACTCCAGTCAGGGGCGTATTTGCCACAAGGCCAACAAGGCATTTGCCTAGGGCGGTACTTTTCAGGGGGGACACTTCCGTGGGAAAGGGACAGGGGCTGCTGTGTCTTACCTGTGTCCACGACTCCGTGTACCACATCGATCCAGTCCACAAGGTGCTGCTGGAGGAAGGGTGCAGAGGGTGTCCATCCAGTGTCTCATCTTCTTGGATCTTGATCGCAATGTGGGCAGGATGACAAGCCACCTCTCAAATCTGGCCACACCCCTGGGATCACTGGGCAGCCCATAGAAGCCTGTCCCTCCCTCTGCAAGCTCCTCCTCCTCACCTGTGATTGGCCGCCAGATCTCTAGCTCAGAAAAGGCACACAGGCGGCCAATAACAGGCGAGGAGGCGGAGCTTGGAGGAGCTGAGCTGCAGCGCGAAGATTGAAGATCGAGTAAGGGAGCAGCTGGAGCCTGTGAAGAGGAGGAGAGCGGCTGGAGAAGGAAGACAGCTGATGGGTAAGTGTCTGTGCCTGGAGGATGGAGCCCGGGCTGGAGCAGGGGTCATCACGGCGATGTAAGTATAATTGGTGTCAGTGGGAGTAATAGTGCCCCATCATTAGTGTCAGTGTGAGAGGAATAGTGCCCCCTCATTGGTGTCACTGACACCAATGAGGGGGCACTATTCTTCCCACTGACACCAATGATGGGGCACTATTCCTCCCACTGACACCAATGATGGGGCACTATTCCTCCCACTGACACTAATGATGGGGCACTTCCTCCCACTATATGATGGGGCACTTGCTCCCACTGATACCAATGATGGGGCACTATTCCTCCCACTGATACCAATGATGGGGCACTATTCCTCCCACTGATACCAATGATGGGGCACTATTCCTCCCACTGACACCAATGATGGGGCACTATTCCTCCCCACTGACACCAATGATGGGGCACTATTCCTCCCACTGATACCAATGATGGGGCACAATTCCTCCCACTGAAACCAATGATGGGGCACGATTCTTCCCACTGACACTAATAATGGAGTACTATACCTCACACACTGACACTAATGATGGGGGGGTGCCGCCCGATTTTAGTCTTGCCTAGGGCAGCACAATACCAAAATACGCCACTGATTCCAGTTACTTATGTTGATTAAAAGTGTATGTAAATCTAAAAGCTTTAGCTAAAGTGAATAAGGAAGCAATAGAACTCGTCTGTTTTTTTTTTTTTTACTGCTATCCAGGGCTCTTTTTACAAAGATTTACACACAGCTGTTGAGATTCTAAAAGTAGTTTCAACAAAGAAGATGTAAAACTTTGCAACAGGGACACAGAAAGAAATGTATGACAGGGTTTCTGCCTTTGTGTACTCAATTAAAGACATTTGCATCTGTCTGTGTTGCTGTTGGAGCGCTACCCTCACTTCCTGTAAGCAGGACAGGACATGAAGGTAAATCTCTCTGAGCCCCAGATAACGTGACGGGTCGTAACAACTTCCCAATCTATCACAAATTAGGTGAAAAGCTTTAGATGGACAAATGCTTTAAAAAGCTGCCTCTTGTTAGGTCCTTTTATGCACACAGTTTACAAATGGCCAAATATCATAGGGGTCCCAATTGAAATATGAACTTTTCAGAGTGTATATAGTATGCTCCCTATATCTCTTGGGGAAACATGGGCATAAAAATATTAACATAATATTTCTAATAGTTTTATATGAGTTAGGACATAAACTCATATAGCAGAAAAATATCTTTGAATATATTTAAAAATATATTCTTCCAAAATATATTGGCATATATTTAAAATGCTACAATTTTGGCCATATTCAATATATATATATATATATATATATATATATATATATATATATATATATATATATATATATATATATATATATATATATATATATATATACTGTATGTTGAAATGCGTTTTTTATATTTTTATATATTACAACATGTATGAAAAATATTTTTTCAAATATATTTTTTTTAAATATATTCTTCAGATTTTTTTTTTTTTTTTTTTACATAAAGTAATTTTAACATATATATTTACCGTACATATCTGTAAATGCATTCCAAAAATGTAGATTTATGTTTCTAAAGACACACACTATATTTGAAATGTATTTTTCAAAATATTTTTAATATATTTTGTAATTAAAAATGCATTTCAACATGCAGTGTGTCTATCTATCTATCTATCTATCTATCTATCTATCTATCTATCTATCTATCTTTTTATTATTCTACAGGATTTATATAGTGCCAACAGTTTGCGCAGCACCTTACAATTACAACACATTTCAGTACATAAGGAATAGGAGGGCCCTGCTCGTGTAGCTTACAATCCAAAGGAAGGGGGGTCTATTCCTCTCTCTCTCTCTCTATCTATCTATCTATCTATCTATCTATATATATATATATATATATATATATATATATATATATATATATATACAGACACACACACACACTGCATGTTGAAATACGTTTTTATTACAAGGTATATGAAAAATATTTTTTACGAATGCATTTCAAATATATTGTATGTCTTTAAAAATACAAATCTACATTTTTGGAATGCATTTACAAATATATGTAAAAAATATATTTTAAAATTACTCTTTTTATGTTAAAAGAAATCTGCAGAATACATTTTAAAAAAGCATGCAGTGTGTGTATATGTATTTGTTGAACTATATTGAATATGGCCAAAATAGTAGCATTTCAAATATATGTCAATATATTTGGGAAGAATATTTTTAAAATATATTTTCAAATATATTTTTCTTCCATGTGGAATAATAAACCCCCTCTATCACTTTCAGCAGCATAGGTTGCCAATGGGATATCACATACCACATTATGTAAGGATAGATTTCCCAAAGATCTCTAGATTCACCCAGTGAACAGCAGCCTTTCAAGACGGAAACGGCTTGGGGACATTTTGTTGTATCTGAAGTCACCCACGACTGCAGTCAGAGAGAGAAAAGCCGGCCTGCTTTTGATCTTCCATCTTCTTCATAAATACATAATGTCGCTCTTACAAAGCAAACATACAGCGCCATTTCAGTGTGTGGTTTATTTACTGTAATCTCGGTGTCATGTATATGTTTATTTTCTCTGCAGCAGGCTGTTTGTTTGTGCCAGTTTACATTTGTTTCTTGTAGCATATGCACTGGAAAGTAGTTATCCACACTTCTTAATACTCTCAGTACACAATATGCTGCATGGTAGGTTCTACCGTGCAGGCAGCACCTTGTCACAGATTTTTTTTTTTCTGGATTGTTTCGCTTGTGTTTGTTTGTATGGGCACAGTGTTAACAGTATTATAGAATGCTTAGAGCCTAACTCCACTTTTAATGTCCAGTTGAATAGTTGAGCAAGCTGACCCAAACAACTATTTACTCCACTAACAGGTGCGCTTTCCAGGCAAGCTGTATTAACTTGTGTATGGCTTCAGCTACATACAGTATACAGTGCTGTGTTCCGGCAGAGGGACAATAACTTCCTATCCCATTCCCAGAACAAAATTAAGTTGGGTTGAGCACTGCTCAGCCATTCACAGGGAGCTTTCCATTTTATGAGAGAATAAAAAGCTTCCTCTGATTGGCGTTCATGACGTCATCTGGCCACCTCTCTGCTTCCGCTAGTCAGAAAAATTTGTGTTCATTCATAGAATAGAAAGCTCCCTGTGAATGGCTGAACAGTGATCAACCCAACTCTCTTACGTTCTGGGAATGGGACAGGAAGTTCTCGTCTCACTGCCGGAACACAGCTCTGTATACTGTCCAGCAAGCACACCTGTTAGTGCAGTAAATTGTCTGTTGGGGCCAGCTTGGCTTAAACAAACTATTTAATCACTTGCCCTCCAGAGGATTTACCCCCCTTCCTGACCAGGCCATTTTTTGCGACATGGCGCTGTGTTACACTAAAGGACATTTGTGTGGACATGCAACTCTGCACCCAAATGAAATATATGTCCTTTTTTCCCCACAAATAGTGCTTTCTTTTGGTGGTATTTGATCGCCTCTTCGCTTATTTTTTGCACTATAAAAAAAATGACCGACCATTTTGAGAAAAAAAAAACAATAATTTGACTTTTTGCTGTTAAACATGTCCAGTAAAAAAAACTTTTAAAAATCAAATTTCATCATTAATTTAGGCCAAAATGTATTCTGCGACATGTCTTTGCTAAATAAAAAAATATCCCAATACGAAAGTTATAGTGTCCACAAATGGCAGTATAGATACTGGAATTTTTTTTTTAAAATGTTGTACTAGTAATGGCGGCAATCAGCGACTTATAACGGGACTGCGTCAGGCATTCTGACACTGGGTGGGAACTGGTTAACTGTCACTGACATCCCCAGTGACACCAATACAGTGATCAGTGCTAATAAAAAATAGACACTGGGGAGGAAGGGGTTAACATCTGGGGCGATCAAAGGGTTAATTGTGTGTTTGCTTTACTGTGTAAGCACATTGCTTTGTATTTTTCTGCTATGCAGAGCAATACAAAGCAGTGTGCAGGAATGGACAGAGGAGAGATTTGTGGTGTTTACATACAGGTCTCTCCCAAACAGTGATACACGGCGACCGCGGGGTGCCAGTAGGGAATCACCGGCCAGGATCTGGTGATCGACAGGTGAAGCCGCCAATGGTTGTGCCGGTAGGGCGTTTGTGCGGCTTGCACACGACCCCTACCCAGAAATGCAAAATCACGTATATATACATAAATGTATGCACCTCTGCCGCCCTGTAGCAGTATTTCTGCCATAGGGCGGCAGGGAAGTGGTTAAAGGTACATTAAACTTGGCATTCGGCTTTTAAGTGTGACATACATTTTGGTTTGAAAGAAAAATTCTATTCATGTGTGTTTTTCTTAAAAGCAGACCTTCACTCAAGTATAAAAGTATTGTTCACCCTCACCTCCCCACAGATTTGCAGTTTTGTTTTGTTTTTTTTTCTGGGGAGTGAGTACCTTTCTTTGACAATCCTTGCCTGGACACAAATTTAGCCCTCCCTCCCCCAGCTGACTCCTACATCCAGGATGGTGGCACCAGGCATTGGAAGCCTAGCAAAGAATCGGCTCCAGGGAAGACTGTGCTGGACTCCATGGACTGATGAGCACCTGTTTGTTAAAAGTCACCAACTTCAGTATTTGTAGCTGCTGATGTTTAATTTTTAAGAATAGAAGTGAAGTTCTTCTTTAACTTAAAGTATCTTCTATTGCTCTCAGCCTCCTCTGAGATCTGATTTCCTGTCAAAGGGTGGCTACATTCATTCTCTGTGGCCCCACTGTATGTAGGAGTGCAGCCATTCTGTCTTGCTTGCTCCTGAGATGGAATATGTGCTATGGGATGTGGGTATGCATAGAGCAGTGCTTATGACCATAAGTACCGTGCACTGCTCTTTCTAAGCACATGGAAGTGAGGGGGATGGAGGAGAAAGAGGAACAAAAAAAATCAATTTCATGAAAAACAGATCACAGGGTCATTGGGTAGTGGATGGGAATGTAATTTTCTTGGAGGATAAGGACATCATTTAGTGTCACTTTAATCTGTGTAATGTTGAGTAGTCTTGGTTCATCTGTCTGTATTGTGCTTGCTTTCAAGGTCCTGCTCCTGGGAAAAGCAAAAGACGCATATCATGTAAAGACTTGGGTCGTGGTGATTGTGAAGGGTGGCTATGGAAAAAGAAAGATGCAAAGAGCTATTTCTCACAGAAGTGGAAAAAATACTGGTTTATTCTAAAGGACGCATCCCTTTATTGGTATAGCAACGAGGAGGTAAACACTTGTGTTCTGTTTTGAAAAGATAAATGTTTCTGTAATATTGTTTCATTCACTGGTACTAGCACCATCATTTCTGCGGTCTGATCCTTCAAATCTTGAGAGATCGGGCGATGATCAGGATGTTGATGCTGATTTCAGAGCTCAGGAGATCAGAGTCCATTGTTCTAAGGACTTGTACATGTGAGCTTGTATTAGAAGAGTG